TGGCACAAGGTATATGTAACCAGCTCAGTAAAAAGGATGGGAATATAATTGAAATGACAAACACAACAGGATAATGTATTTAGTTATTAATCAATGGTGTGGTCTCATCCGTGTCGCTATGTTCACTATGTTCAACATTGACTCCTTGCTGTGCGTGTCACGTCTCATGTTGTATTGAGTGCGAACAAATTGTTGACAACTCATTTTTCATTATGTTTAAATGCAGCCTCATAAACTCTGGAGTGAATCAAACAAACACTAAGTAAACTTCATGTACTGATCAGGTCCTAATAACTTGTGATAAGTGTTGGTATTTATTAGTTAAAGTGAGTGCAGGTCTGCAGGAGACTGGAGGAGGACAGAGGACATTCCATCATGGATCCACACTCTCTGGTGCATGTGTCTATAGCTATTTTCAGACATCCACTGAGCTGATCTGCAGGGGCTGTATGTGTGAACGCAAATGAAATTCCAGAGAAGCCATTGTGAGAGCACAGCAGGGGATCCTCTGCAGTTTTCACAAGCTAGTGTTGACGCTTGTAAACGGTGCAAAATGAAGACGAGGATGTTCTACTGTAAACAAAGACATGTGACCTTCACAGCAGAATTAATATGTTGCGTACTGCCTCTGCCTGCTGCACCACCCCTTGTCTGAATCCTCTGGTGGATTTGTTGCTGTTGTGAACGTGTCTGAGCGGAGAATCTCCCGCTGAGTTGTTCATGTGTGAAAGGCAACCTCTGGAGAAAGTTCAGACCTCAGTCTTTCTAGCTTTATTTGTTTTGAGTTATGTTTGTGCTTTTAACACTCAAACTATGAGGCACAGAAACAAACCTTTTCATTATTCTTACTAATTGTATCCAGGGCATTTTGACACTAAGAATTGTATATGTTGTATATGCATACAGTAGGAGCCGGCTTTCATTTGTATTTTAAAGCAGTCATAGTCGTGAGAGAGTTAGTGCAACACAGAGCTGAGTCACTCAGAGAAAGTTAGTTCTGCTGTTAGCTGTTAGAAATTGGAGCCCAATGTGTTAGCTGGCCACAGATTTGGGCCAGTGGTGTGTGAGTGCCTGCGTGCATGCGTGTGTGTGTGTGTGTGTGTGTGTGTGTGTGTGTGTGTGTGTGTAAAAGTAAAAATGGGTCAGTGTAGCAAACTGTATAGATCAATATTGTCAATATTAAGTGATATATGCTGCTGGTGATGTTGCTGCAGGACAATATCGATGGATCTCAGCTATCACTAGTACACACACACTCTAGCATACATGTATAGAATAGAGACATTTCACATTGGTATACACCTAATTCACACTGTCTTGAGTATGTTTTTATTGTAAATAGACAGAGCACTTGTAACTGACAGCTGGGTAGTGTGTTGATGTGTACAGGTAACATTAGCTTGAGAGAATAGTGTAAGTCTACCTTTCTCATCTATAATGGAAAACCAGGTACACTGACCTTAGACGTGACACAAAGCCATAATCTTTTTTTCCGACAGAAGCTCAACTCACATGTTCATATAGCTTTAATGTAGATCCTTTTCCCGGTTATGTGCAGTATAGATTTGTGTTGCTACAATTATTGTGGACAAAATACTGAAACTGAAAAAAACTGAAACCAGACAAAGAGCCTGGTTTGCTAGCCCTCCTGTGAAAGTCATTTCTGCTGTTTGACCGCACTTCCCTTTGAGAATGATAATAATCACAGTGATGACAGTGATAGAAATTGTTGGTGGCATTGTATATTCCACCACAGTGTTGAGTTAAACATATGCGAATGTTGCTGATATGCCATATGTGATACATAAGATATCTATACTTGAACAAATCTATAGTCATTGCATGTGATAAATGATGAAAGATGAAAAAAAATGAAACGGCAAGTTTCATTTTGATTTATTGTGGCCGATACCATGACATGAAACAGTTAATTAAAAGCTTAGAAATGCTCCTGGTGTGTTGTCCAGGGCTTTTTAACTGTGATCACTACAACTCAACTGTTCTGATATATCAGACATGTGGAAGAGCATCGTTGTTTTTGTAGTTGCGGCTGGCATTATAAGATGATCCTTCTTTTCTATTATTTTGCAATTTATAAATGCTCTCCACCACATTTAAGTAACATCCATCAACCTTGTAGCAATGTTCTGATTGGTATGTCATTCCCAGGACAGCAGTCTGGGTTCTCTACTGCCCTCCTGCTGTGTAGCCTCTGCCGACAAAGCTCGCAGAGCCTCCGCTAACTTTAAACCCTACTGTATAATTATGTGCAGTGTTGCATGTGGCCTCACCCTTTTGATTCTTCAGAATGCAACATGACTTTTCCTCTCACCAATGTAATGTTCGGGTCCCTGAGTAGAGCAAAGCTAAAGCTCAATTTTTTGTTCAAATTTATTTTTTAACCAACAAGCATTATCCGTCAGTTGTTGAGGTGGACCGGATAAGATAAGCAAAATGTCATCTTAGTTTCTTTTTGACAGGATATATAAATATATTTTGTGTTAGTTTCGGGTTGTTATTGACCCTGTCTGTCACAAATCTGAGTGAAATAAAGTAAAACTTTGTGGCAAAGCTTCCAGTCAGTGTGTTTCAGCTGAAGTCCTTAAAGACATCTGGTAGCCAGCCCACATGTTTTATTCAAAGTGTGTGTGTGTGTGT